CGTCCTTTCGATCGACGTTATTTTGCCCTTGATACTCTTCATACTCGCTAACGTATTCCGCGGGTAATATAAATATTACTCCAATTTGATGTTCATTCCAACTACCTTCGTTTTTGCCATCGATAAAGTCTCTTATATATTGACCCCCCATCGGTATATTACTTTCTTCAAAATTCCTATAATTATTGATCCTTCCCCAATAAGGGATCATTCCTCCTCTCCTCCAAGACCTTCCTCGAAATCTCCTTTGAAATGTAGGGAATCCACTATTTGATCCTTCATCATATGAAAGTCTGTCGAAAACATCATTATTTTGAAGTCTACTCCTTCCTTCTCGGGGATAATACATTTCCTTCCTAACCCATTGTTTCTGGTTTCTACTGGCTCCAGAACCAACAGATTTCTGCTGACTCTCCCCAACTGTGGTTTGGACTGTTTGATCTACTTTATCATTGCAATTTTTATGCTGATCCTCTACTTTCTTGATCTATCTTGCCCTGAAGGTTTTAGCAGTTGACCTGTCGAACACCGCACTGCATCGTGGACATAATGTCACACCTTCGTCCTTCTCTTTCTTTCTGTTTAAAAATTCAGCGAGAGAATCTTCTGATCGAGGATAAATCTCTCTCGAATTCTTTCTCGAACTCGCTTAAGTCGAACTCTATGTCTTCTTCTGATGTGTCCATTTTGACATGTCTGAGATCGATATCTTCAGTAACATCGACCATGCCTATGAAGGTTGAATTTACCAATCGGACATCCTCAGTCATGCCCGTTTGGGATTCGACGTACCATACTTGAACTTCAAATGGACTCGTATCCACTTTCATTGACATTTCTTCAAACTTCAATCTTCCTTGGTCGATCGCATCTTGGATCGTGTTCCTGAAATGTATACAATTATTAGTCCAATGTCCATAAATATTATGAAATTTGCAGTATTTTCGACCATTTCTTTGTTCTGCAGAAGGTAATTTGTGATCATCACTCAACTTAATCTGTTTATCTTTCAATAAAATATCGAAGATTTTATCTGCCTTTATTACATCAAAAGTATATGTGCGGTTTGCCATTTTGTCTTTTACTTCATTTTTTTGTAACAATTTACAGAAGGACGGGGCTCCTACTTTAAGCTATGTTATATTTACATTCTCATCGACAGATTCTTTAATATCTACTTCTATCCCGGGATTTCCTTCATATATGTCATTTATATATGCTACCCTTTCTTTTTTCATAGGTTTCTCAAATTTCTTGTACCTTTGTTTCTCATATTCGATTTGTTCCACTTTTCTCACTCTATCGGCTAGCTGAGCCATGTCATTCAACGGTAAATTAACTAACTTTTTTCTAATAAAAAATTCTAAGTCTGCAGAGGCCATTCTGACCAATTCAAATTCGAAAATTTGAGTAAAACATCTCGACTTCATTTGTCTGAATCTATTCAAATAATCATCTACGCTTCATGATTATATCTCTTTATATTCATTAAGTCGGTAAGACTTACTTGTGTCTCCCTCCTGAAGAATTGCTCATGAAAACTTCTTTCCAGCTGCAACCAATTATATATTGAATTAGGTGGCAACAACGTAAACCACGTGAAAGCATTCTTTGTTAATGAACTTGGAAAGTATTTCATTTTCAATTCCTCACTCATCGCTAGGTCTCCACATTCGATTTGGTATCGCGCTACATGCTCGATAGTAGATTTGCCAATTTCTCCCGCAAATTTGGTGAATTTAGGTATTTTGTATCCTCGTGGTAATTCTGTCTCGAGAATCGTATTTGGAAAATGAGAAACAAAGTATGGTTGATGAGGTGGTCTTAATTCTACTCCTTGGAGATTCATCTTTTGTCCCAGCATATGATTGTACTGCATGTTATTTTGATTATACGCATTTTGAAATCCCTCATTCAAATTTCCATAAGTATCATTCCTCACAGGCTAATATTCATTTCTTCCATGCTGATGATGATCATTGTTTCGATTTCTCCTTAATAAATAAAGGGGATTGATATTAGCATTTTGGTTAATATTCTGATTGGCATTACTTTCGACCCTCGTTTGTCGGGGTATTGCTAATGCATCCCCGATACGTGTCATTTGGTCTGCTAATATCTCAAAACTAGTGGTAGTATTTTGAACTAATGGGTTTAGAACCATAGTCAACTGTTTTGATAACATGTTAACCATCTCGAAATTGCTTTCGTCTATTTGTTGTCGAAGTACTCCTAATGAGTTATTGGAAATTCCAGTACTAGTGTTTTCGATAGTCTCAAAATTGGATCGATGATAATCTCTATCGAACGTATATCTCCCGTGATCCAGGTTTGCCCTATGATCTAAGTTTGATATTGGAGGTGTCTGTTGTGTTCCTAAATTCTGCACATTCCCTGAATTCTGGGGTGTTACTAAATTTTGAGACACCCCTAAATTTGGGGACACTCCAAAATTTTGAGGCATACTTAAGGTTTGAGCTGTTCCTAAGTTTTGAGGCATTCCTAGGTTAAATCTCGTACTTCGTTGTATTGAAGAAGTACCAGCCCTATTCATATTATTAATCGAAAAACCAGGCGGCCTTACACTCATATGCGGACTTGCATATGTTGTTACGAGACTTCCCATGGTTTGTATAGTATTTGACATTACAGTTCCAGACCCTATTATCTGAGCATTTGCTAATGTCCCTTGATTTTGCTCAGAACTCACTAGAATCGACGCACTCACAGTTGTCGATATTACTGACATAATTCCATTGTGAACTTGCCCCCCAGTGTTTGGTGGATTCAAACTATTAGGAATCTCACTGTTACCCTGACTATTTGGTGGATTTTGACTCATTCTTACTACTCGTCCACTCCTTAGTCTCATACACTCATCGAACTAGCCAGACTTTGTGTATAATACACAACGACCCCTACCTGGCGCGCCAATTTGTTTCTGGTGAAAATTTGATCGATTTCGATTTCTCAAAGACTTAGGTTCTAATCAAATTTTAACCACGTAGATTCTTTCTATTTAAGCTAGCAAACGGTTTTCAATCGAAAAAATGCATGAGAATCGAAAATCCCATGGTTTCAAAAAATGTAAACAACACAACTTAGTATGCAAATCGAAAGTATTATTTTTGGTATTTTTCATTAAGAGACGCGAAGTAAAGAAAACAGTAAAAATGTTGAATCGAAAGATAGTGCATAATATTAAATTGCAAAAAAATATAAAGTGCGGAAACCTCAAATTTGCATTAAGTGTAAAAGGCAAGGAATCGAAATTGCAGAAATGTAAATAACAGGAAATCGAAATTGCAGAAATGTAAATAGCGAGGATCTTAAACGCATAACCTTAACTTGCATAAAAGTAAATGACAAGAAATCGAAAGGACAAAACTTAAAGTTTGACAAACGTAAACTGCAATGAAAGTAAATCACCAGGGAAAGTAGAAAAAGTGATAAAGATAATCAATGAAAACGGAAATCCAGAGCATTAGAAATTTCATGATGCGTCGTTCTCCTGTAAACTGTTCACTTGCGCTTCTGTTGTCTCTGCCAATTTCCTCTTCTTCTTCAAGCTTCATTCTATTTATAGGTGTCTTCCAATGTAACCTCCAAAGAACAGTTAAAAAACTGCCACCACGTTCCATGTGCACGATCTTTTATTTTAACTTATAGTTTAGGAAACTGCTTTCACGTTCTATGTGTAATTTAATTGCTTCTCGATTTCTATCCTCAGCCACGATGTGGAAGGCCACTTTACACGTTCCAATATGCATGATAAAACCGTTTCCCTCGATCTCGATTCCAATCATCAAATACGATTTCCCTTGACCTATTTTATCATTACCTTCATCGATTTCTCTCTCTTTTCTTGATTTTCGATTCTCATTCTCGATCTACGCATTCATACTAGTAGTCACCGGGTATCTCCCCACCACCCATACGATCTTCGATTTTTCTCTTTTGTTTTTCAATCCTTGTATCAATTTTCCACTCACAAATAGAATATGATGTTATATTATTTAAATAATTGATTTATATTTTATTGTTGAAAATTTTCTTATTATTACTTCTTGTCGAAAATACCTAATAATATCAAAGTTAATAATTAGTTTGATAATGAGATTAATTAGACAAATTATTCCCATTAAGTTAAACGCTAATATAAGTAAGTTAAAAAATATTTTCACTCGAGTAACTGAGATATATAAAGGTGAAAGAGAATTGAAAAAATTAATAAAGATGATGATTCCTTCATATCCATTCACTATCACCAATTTTCACGTTTAAAATCAATCTCAAATTGTCCATAAGGAAATTAATTGATTTGAAGTAATTAATTATTAAATATGTTAATAATTTTTAATATTATTAATTACGTATCAATATTTTATATAATTATATTTATATACATAGTTAATCATATGTTGGTCACCGGAAGTACATTTTTCTGAGGTAGAGAAATTAATATGAAAAAGAAAAATAACATTTAAATATTAATTGAGATAAAAATAACGTTTAGAACTCTAGTTAATCAAAATATAAATTTTAAAAGAAGAGGGTAAAGTTCCTATTCAATATAGTAAACCTTTTTACTCTCATAAAGTACAATGATGATATTTTTTTATTTATTAAAAATATGAGAGGTATTTAAAAATAAAAAATATAAATATAATTTTATTAAAAATACAGGAGAGAGTATTTATTTTAAAATAAAAAAATATGAATATCATTTAACATAACTTTAAATAAGTGTAATTTTTTTGTTGATGATTAGAATATTTTTTTTTGAAATATATGTTTTGAAGAATGAATTTAGAAAGTCTCATAGAACATACACATCTGGAGAATAAATCTTAATTAACAGTTGACAACGAATTCGCATGTATTGTACATACATGTAAAGGGAGTTCTTCAACTTTCCAACTCCACAGAAATACAAATTTCAATCAACGTAAAAATGTATTTCGAGAAAACACAAAAGATTCTTCAAAAATGAGGTATGTTCAAAGCCAAGGATGTAGTAGGGGAAGAAACAAAAGGATGAATAAAAGAGTGAAACCACAATAGGTAGGTCTTAAAGTGGAGCTGCGATTTGGCAACATAGGAAACTTGTCAGGTAAAGGCATTTCGCAGTTCTCGCCATTGAAATATATTCTTCTAGGAAATGCCCATCCATTACTCACTGTGAAAGAATTTGGATCTTTATCCAATAGTATTTCTGTTGACACAACACCTACTTGAGCCTTATCAAAATGCAATAGCACATTGTTGTAATAATCTATTCCCCAAAAGAGGGAAACTCCATCTGCGACAGATTTATTTCTGAATTAGCACCATACTATATAAAGGTTTATAATCACATCGAATATAGTCTTTTACTTTGTCATCATGGGATATTTTACATCCTAAACAGATTCTTACAAGAAGGTGAAATTTGATATTTTTTTTCTCAACCCGATGATGGGTGACAGTGTAAATCTAATAGTTCGAGTCTCGTAAAATTTAAATACTACTTTTGAGTTTTGATTAATATTATTATGGTTAAATGAAGCGTATGATCAGTGAGACAGTACCTTGGTTTCCAAGGGTGGGAAGTTTAGTGCTGTTGAAGCTGTAAGTTGAAGTTTGTTGAGTGAAACCAGGATGTTGGACCAGCACGTTCCAGTTTGAGTAGTTTTTGTTGTAATTGTAGTTAGAAATTGTAAGCTTCACCCTCCATTGGTTCATATAGTTGTTCTTGAAATGCCAATGGACTCGAACTGGACACATGTGGTCTGTGCATTCAACAATTTCAATCGTGTTATCCTCATTAGACCGTGACAAGGGACCAGGCCTGGTTAGTTAAGCGCACAGATGAATAAGGAGAGGGAATGAAGGTAATGACATACACTAATGTGAGAATTGAAATACACCTTATGCAAGAAGTTGTACTTTTATCTGCTTCTCTGCATCCACAACTGCAATTTCTGCAAGATGTGACGATGGGGTTGTAAAATGATGAGAGGGAAACACAGCATACCGGTAATGTGTTTGCTAAGAAACTGGAGTATGCACATGTTGACTTCCAAGTTCCTGAAGTGCAAAATTTAACTCATCATTTACTATTATTGGGAATATATGCTTTATTATATTTTATTAGGTATTAAGAGATTTGTCACACTAGATGGTTGAGTTTTGTAATAATTACTCTGTTAGTTATAATGTACTTTATAATTGGTTCACAGCATTCAAATCTTTAACTTTACTGTGCATGTCTGCAAGAAAATTAAAGTCTAAATCTAATCCTTGCTTAATGTGACTCTGATTGTGTATGTCATCCTTTCTTTGAGTGCGACAACAAAAGAAGAACCATTTGTTGCATGAGAATATTACATGGCATAAAAAGAGTAACTTACTGAGAACAGGAACTTGTCTTAGTCCCCCAAAGTCTGAGGACACTGAGGGATCAGTGTCAAGAAGGGGGCTACAAGTGTAGCCAGGACCTGGGGCCATCAATGTAAGATCGTTAGGTGCTTGTCCAAGTGGGTTATCTCCCACGTTGCGCACTTCAAGTTCAAATGAAGAGAAAGCATTGAAAGGATCAATGGACCAGGCAGAGAGGAGGCCACCACGGCAACAATGCTCTGACCTGTTTTGTGAGACATCTGGAGAGAGATCAACTATGATGGGATCTTTCTTGCAGGAATGTGGCATCTGAGAGCCGCTGTAAGATGAGCAATTCCCTCTATCAGTTGCTATGGCACCACTCATATCCCATATCACTTCATTGTTAGCCCATCTCCATCCTAGCTTCCACCCTGGCTTGTCCACATGCCGATACTGATAGTAGTTTTGAAGTGTCACCCTTGCCTGCACAAAACATTCAAAGCTAGATTCAAGTTGTGAGTTCAACAACAAAAAAATGATTCTAGTTGTGTGTTTCATAACTTTATATTGTATGAAACAAAACAGTAGAACATAATCAACTACTTAGTGCTAAAAGAATAAACTTCAAATGCTTCTATTCAGTGTAATTTGCAGACCACCAAATCTACAGTGTATAGAATAATAAAGTGGATCAATAGCCAAGTTTTTGTATTTTATTGGATTAATTTCTCAAGGTCCCGGGCTATTTTTTCAACGCTGTGGTGAGCATAACTGTGAAGTACAAAGTATGTGGTTAAAAAATCAATTGCAGTTTGTTGTAAAATAAAAAAAAATAGCAAAATAGTATAAAACCAAAAACAAGAAGAACAGAGAGTGAAACAGAGCTCAGCAGTGAACAAAAGGGAAGAAAACTCAGTTGTTCATTGATTCCATTAAGGTTTTCTTTTTGCATACATAAAGAGATATGTAAATCTCCACAAAATAAGGACTACCACTCTTTTTTTAGCTAATATTTGACCATACAACCTACTCTTCCTTAAAATAAGGATTTTCACCTAACCAAAAAGCAAAAGTTACATAAAGTATTTTAAAAAAAATTCAATTTCTAACACAGTTTAAGTGTGAGTATACTGACCAAATATCCATTATCTGTACGTTGGTAAATGTCAAAAGTTACGGAAATGTTGCCAGTTGGATCCAACGGGTCAAAGCAATCTGCAGAGAATATTGAGAACTAAGTGAGCAAAGGAGAAAAAAGGAGTAATAAAGAGAAGAAGAAAAGGCTCTAGAAAGGCAAGATCATAGGATCATGTGGTGAAAACAGAAGAGATGCAGCAGATAAAGGAGAAGTGCATTGCCTGTTAAAATGAAGAGAGCAAAAAAGACCATTAACTTCAGCGTAGGAGCAAGGATCACCATTTTGTTGGCGTTCAAGATGGGTATGTTTGGGGTGCCTTTATTTAATAAATTGTGTATCAATCTAGAGAAACCTCGTTATGTGCTGTTTTCTATTATAGTACTGGGATCAAACAAGAGGTCATTGGAAATATCAGCTAGTTATAATTATGACTAGTAAATTCTGAATTTGGTCAGCATTTTAGGAACTATTAGATTCCACTAAAATTCATATATGCTATGAAGCTACAGGATAATATTTTAAGTTAATAATTCAGTTTTAATTTAAAAAGATTGAGATTTAGTTAAATATTTATTGCGAGGCTTGGGTTCTTGCCTTCGTCCATTATCTTCCGAATGTCTGGAAGGATTGTGATTCGTCTATTTATCGTAATTGATAACTATTTCAGCTTAAACCGTGTCTATGAATTGTACAACCTAGATAAACTCATCATGAAACCTTATATTATGAGCATGTACATCTATAGTTATAATCTACGCACACAAATTATGTTTCATAAAGCATATACCTCAAATGTTCTCCCTTAACTGCTATCAAAGTGTAGTTATTTTGTTTGATGGAGGAGATGACGTGTTGTGTTGATGACAGGGTCAATTGTGGAGAGCAAGAAGCGACATGTTTCCTTCATTGTGTCCAAATCCATGACCTAGATTTATACGCACCTACAGTAACCATTATCCAACCTCTCCATCACTGTGCCCAACAGCTATGATCATTACATGACAGGTATAGTACGACATTTTCTTTAGGAAGGACACCTGCCCTTCAATAATTCGTTACTACTAAATTTTCTAACACTTCCTTTCATCAATTACATGCTTCAACCATCTAATTTTTCAATCTTGCTTTGAAATAATTACCCCTGCCATCTTTTTAGGGAGTTATTACATCAATTTTTAAAATTATAATCTAGCTAGACTGTATCATTAGACACCTGTTTTTATAAATATGATTCACATGTATTCTTCATTTGATGCAAGTGAGTTTAATACAATCCAAACTACTGATTAAACTGAAACAGTTAATATGATTCACATGTATTCTTCATTTGTTTTTTCACTATACACGAGTAACTGTAGAGTAGTAAAAGGGTTTTATCCAATTGGCAAAAAAAAAAAAAAAAATGAAAGTAGAAAAGTTCGAATTTCGTTTGTGCTCTCTCACATTTGTCTTCCAATGTTGTTTGACATGTTTAACATTGTGTTCGTAGTTATGCCTTTGCACAAGTCAAACAATATTTTTATTTGCTAAGGTATGTTATATATGAAACAGGCTGTTTGATGGACCCTGACGAAAACTCCTTGCATCCATTGTTACCCACCCATTATCAGTTTTTCATATAAAAATGATTAAATACATGTTTTGTCAATGCATACTTAAGGCATCCTCTAGCCGGCACATCCCAAACTTATTCAACCTTTTTGATCTGTAATTCCTTGCAAAACCAACAAAAGGTCCAAAAAACCATGTTGTATGAGAAATAGAATCCATGTTAACTTTTATTGACAACTTTTCCTTAGTCCTTATTCAATAATCGTCCAACTGCTGGTATATTGTATTTTCAAAGACAGTTATTTGAAAAGTGTATCTGATATTATTATATTAAGTTTCTTTTTGATATTGCCATCAATGGCCTACAAGACATCTATCTACTTTCAACTGAAGTGATAAACACGCCCGATTAGGGATAATTCCACATCATACAAAGTGACTCTTAACTGTCAGTAACAATTTGCATGAATAAAAAAAATGTTTGTAATTAGTTTTTTGACCGCTGAGAAACTAGGGACAATTATGCTGTTTCACTAGAAGATGGCTGCAAGAATGTTGAAGATGAGCCTAAAGGCTCATGCACAACTGAATTTGAAGAAACGGATATTGGACTGCCCTCTAACTGCAACATGATACTCCCCAGAATTTCAGTTAAAATTTTCTTGAATTCGACTTCTGTAACCGTGTTTTTGTCATCCGCATTCCCCATCTTAAAGGCTTCAACAATAACTTTATCCATCTGTCAAATCAAACATACGGATTTTTAATCTCTGACTCAAGAAAATGCAATGAACATTTGTAAGATACCATTATTTGTCATGATATGCTGGCATGGCCCAGAGGGAAATGTAAAAACTAGTGGTAGCACTGATCATGCGAACTAAAACTTTTGAGTTTAATAAAATAAATTGCAGCAGCATCAATTTGTAAACAATAGTATTAAATAAGAACACTTCAATAGAATATGAGTCCAATATCTTCTATAAACAAGTAAAGACTCATGGCAAAATTTCAATAGAAAATGTGACAATCTCTCCTATATTTTCAGCCTAGTTTAGCCCTTTACAAAAAATACTACCTAGCTGCATAAAGAATTCAATAGAGTAAAAGCAATTTGTTGGAAATATGATTCAGTATCTATTATTAGAGTTTCTTACGACACCATTAAAATTCCTATTGTTATAAGTTTTAATTATAAGTGGGCAGTTAAAAGATTTTATGAATAGTTTTAATTCTGATTTATTTTCATATTAATGGGTGTAATAGTTATGAATTTTCTATTCTATTTGTATTGTATTTAAATGATGTAAAGATGAATGAAAATAGGTGAGCAGGTCCTAAAATTAGTGTGAAATCCAACACAACTGACAAATAAACGAATCCAAAGTAAGTAGGAAAGTAGATGGATTGAGTTTGTCTGTATGCATTTGGCAACATACCTCTTCAATTGCGCCAACTGGAGGTAAACCAGCAGATGGAGACACCAGATCTAGTGCCACCCGCTGATAATCCTTCGATATTTTTCCATTGCGATCTTTTGGCAGATTCTCTAAAGCCAAGTTCAACGTCTGCATCATGTGACAGATTGGTGAATTTCATGTTAAATAACTAAATTCAAAACAAGAAAAATATTGCAATGAATCACAATAAAAATAAACCCTTTCTAGTTCAAACTTGTTGGATAAAAGTCTCTTAACGCCGCGTCCATCAAATGTGTTTTCACTGTGGGCAACAATGACAGGTTTCTCTTTAAGAAAATCAACCACACTGAATACCACTTTCTTAAATTCTTCCAAAAATGTCTCCTGAGCAGCAGGATTGTCCAAGGCAGGCCCAGCTTGAGACAGTGCTGGATCCACAATGTTGTTGAAAACCTTGACGAAAAAATGTAAGCCAGGAGGGTAAGGAAATGAAAGAATGTCCAGACATAACTCTAAACAAAATCTATTTTAATCAAGTTTTGATACACAAATTATTGTTTCAATAGCAACTACTTAAATATGTAGAAAAACACCATTCAAGGACAGAGTAGTCGCAGAATGTACCCAAGAATCTGATGTGGGAGGAATTCCTTCCTCAACAGTGAGTCTCCCAAAAGCTTCAATTACATGTTCACGAAGTGATCCACTAGGGGACTCAATCTGAGAGAAAATGGATGCCATTTCTGCCTCATAACTTGGACCAGTGACAAACTCAAGGAGATCTTCCCCATCCATGCGGAGTATAACAATTGGGTCTCGCTTTAGTCCAGCAGCCATGCCCAAAAGAATGTCTGAGAGAACCTCTTTGAACTCCATCTTGCTTACTTTTTCTTGCTTGCCATGGGTGAACTCATTCAAGACCTATACACAAGTCAATAGCATTTTCCACTCTTGTAGTCTTGTTTCACTATAGTGCAAATTAATGCATGGAAATTTGGGTAGTGCATGTAGAGATTGTGAAAGGAGCTAGAGGACTTATATTGAAAATATAATGAGAAATCAAACTTTTCTTTACAGAAACATAATGAATGCAGATACACATCTTGGTTTACCTATGTAGCACCAAAGTGGATCAATTTCTGGCAACAATTACAGCTCACTTGGTAAGTTTTGTTGGTTCAATATATAGTGCTAGCATGATAATAGGACTTCACATTTCATAAAAAATAGAAATGAAGGAAAATAACCAAGGGGAAAAGCCCTCCGGTAAATCCACTTTGAATTATATGACGTCATAAATTTAGAATCATATTGCTTCTTTTTCTTTATTGGGGTTGGGGCTAAGTTGTCTTGTACTCTAATTAAGGAATTTGCTTTTTCCCAAAGCATGCTATTAAAGGAACACCTTTTCTAGTGCACATATGGACCATTGGGGCTCTAGCACTAGAATTTTGGGTCCTAGGAGTTCATCATTAACTATAATAACAGATTAACCTTTTGATAATCTAAATTCTATTATAAAATAAAAATTTCCAGTTCTTCAATTGCAGGGTCCATCAAGTGTGGTTTAACATATAATTTAACATATATTAACTGCTAAATTGTCAGTTTAACATTGTTTCTTCCACCAGATTCTGGCTCTAGGGAGAAAATTAAAAGCAAAATAGAGCAGGACAAGTAATTGCACAGAGAAGGCAGATTTCCACTGGACCAAGGTAACATGGTCCATGGATTATGATGTTTCTGGGGCCAGCTAGAAGTCAATTTTGAGAAATTAGTCTGGAAAGCAAGCAAGCACCACACTAACTATAATTTTAAGAAACATGTCATTGAAGACTTGCTTTTATCCCTAGTCCAGACACAAACTGTTTCTTCATCAACATCTGAAGTACTAAACAGGTATGGTAGTTCTGCAAAGGAGTCACGTCTACAGAAAGAAAAAAAAAAAACTAACAAATGGAAACCACAAGACATGGAAAGTCAAACAAATCAGATGACAGCAGTATTTTATCATAAGGATAACAAGTTAACTATTTTTTCTTAGTCATCATGATAGCATTGTCATGGACCAAGTTTAAGACAACGCAAAAGTATAAGAAAAAAAAGCCAAGTAGCCCCTTACAACATTAATCTTGGTAGCAAGTCGGTCAGGGACTTTGAAGCAATTGATTTGAGCCTTATGACTTGTTTTTCTAAGTGGGAATTGTAAACAATTGACTAAGACTTGTTTAATTCACGAGTAATTTCTTTCAAACTTTCATGTTTAACCCCAACCCAACACAACACACAACAACATTGCCAAGATTCCAATCCAAGATATTTTCAAAACAAGACAACCCCCCCTCATAAAAAAAAGAGAGAGTAGGGATTATTGGCAAGAAAAAGAAAGAAAAGTTGACCTCAAAATAAATGTGATCTGAATCAGGACTAGTGCCTTGAGCAGGCAAACCAAGACCAGCACCGATGTCAGCAACAGCAGGTTCAAGCTCCTTCATGGAGAGTTTCCCATCTCTGTCCTTATCCAACTCATCAAACTTATTGTTCACAAAGTTGCTGAAAACTTGCTCGTTTCCAACCAACTCCATAATCTTGGAACCATCCACAATCTCTCCCTTCCCACCATTTTTCCTCTTGCTGCTCCCTGACTTACTCTCCATTTTTTCCTTCACCTCTGGTGAGAGGTAACACTAACACAGTAACACCCTTTGGCCTTAAACGCAGTGTAAGAGTAGGAGGAAGGAAAGGAAGAAGGTCATTATTGTATCAGTCAGCCATGGTGTGAAATGTGAACCCCACACGTGGCTCCCCAGACAAAGCATATACTTGTAAATCTTAATCACATATAACATATAAATATGTAAGAGAAAAAGGGCAAACACAACATGTGCTCAAAAAACGTTGGCCCTGTTTGTTTTAGCTATTGGGAAGTTACTTCATCCACCACCAAACAGACCTGCTTTGTCCCTTTTCCTCCTCTCTCCTTCTAAAATCCATGGTACTTTTACTTCTTATTTTATGTGATTTTATATATTCTTTCTTCCTTTGTCTCCGTGTATCTTAACTTGATTCCTTCAATAAATTTTATGCATAGACATACTTTACAATATTTTTAATAATAAATTATTAGAAAAATGATCAATTGAATAATTTGTATAAGTATTTTAAAATTTATGTAAATATCGAACTTATTGTTCGGAGTTTTAAATTCCCAAGTCACTTTTATGTTTTTTATTTATTTTTATTTATTTTTTTTATTTTTTTTTCTGGAATGAGAAATCTGGAAATAGATTATCATAGAATAAAAATATCTATGATGGACTCATTTTTGTAGGTAAGAAAAATATAGAGGGAGAAAGTAGATAGATGTTGGAGGAAGCCACTAATTCCATTTGTAGGGCCCAAGTATTGAAGTGGCCCGTATCTCATCCAAGTATTTTCCATTCTATAAAAAATTTAAATTTAATTATAATTCTGGTTCTTACAATTTATAAAACTTACATTTTGATTTCTAAATTCTTTTTCCCACACTTTTAGCTCTTTAATTTTAATTATATATAGTTTTGAATCCTAATATTTAAAAAATGTATTAAACTTTGACAAAATCCGAATATAGAAAAGGTGAAAATTTTGTTCAATCTTTAACTTTCTTTATTTTTTTTACATTTTAATTAATTAAATTATTTTTTAATGATATCTGTTTTTGATGGTATAAAAAAAGGCCAAAAAACAAATATAACAACTCGACGAAAGAGTAATAATGCAGCGGAAATTCAATCCCGCTTCTTGCGAGAATCAGCAGAGAAGACCAAACAAATAGATCCAAAGACGCAAAGAGACACCAACAATTTTAACGTGGAAAACCCCTCAATGCAAGGGTAAAAACCACGAGTCGTCAGCACCAAAGAAAAATCCACTATGATCAATAATGGGGTACACAAGAGTCTCCAATAATAATACCAAAAGGTATTTTCAATAAGCAGAATTAACTAAGCACAAATGCTTACAAAAGAGAAACAAAGAAGATGAAAAATCTCCAAAACAGGGCTGCTGGTGCGGGACCAATTTCTCCCAATCTAGACCTTCGATTGACGATCCGAACGGTCAGAATGAAGAACCATATGTCTGGAACCTACTATCCAAAAATCAGCTCGATCCAACGGTGAACGACTTCACAGCGACGAAAACACCAGTGCAGATTTAGGGTTATGCGGAGATGACTTTCTCTCTTCTTTTCTCTCACTAGACTTTTTGTCTTTTTTCAAATGACTCTCTTGTCCTCTACTAATCTGACCCATCTCATTTTACCCAAATGAGACATAATGGACCACACTATTTGGGCCTATTCTCCACATAGGAAGGGAGCCCAATAACCCAACAAATCTCCCCTCACGACTATGTGGAGATATCCGCCAAGCCGGCGATCTCACAACAAACTTCAAACTTTCCTCTTGGCAATGCCTTGGTCATCATATCAGCACCATTATCATCCGTATGAACTTTAGCTAGTTCCACCAACTTAGCATCCAAAACATCACGTATCCAATGATACCTCACATCAATATGTTTGGATTTAGAATGAAAAGTTGGATTCTTACCAAGATGAATAGTACTTTGATTGTCACAATACAACAAGTATTTATCTTGCACAAAACCAAGCTCCTGCAAGAATTTCTTCACCCATAACAACTCTTTGCATGCTTCAGTAAGTGCAATGAATTCTGCCTCAGTAGTAGACAACGCCACACACTTTTGCAACTTTGATTGCCAAGCCAAAGCTCCCCTGCAAGCCGAATCAAATAGCACGAAGTGGACTTTCCGGAATCAATGTCTCCGACCATATCCGAATCCGAGTAACCCACCAAAGTAGGCTTATCACCTCCAAAACAAAGTCTCAAACCTCTAGTACCACGAAGATACCTCAAAATCCATTTCACGACATTCCAATGCTCTCTACCTGGATTTGACAGAAATCGCTAACTGTACCAACAGCGTGTGCAATATCGGGCCTTGTACATACCATTGCATACATCAAACTACCCACCGCGAAGCATAAGGAACTTTTCTCATAGCTATCTTCTCAACTTCATTTGAAGGACTTTGTTTAACACTCGACTTAAAATGAGTAGCAAGAGGAGTACTTACAACCTTAGCATTCTCCATTTGGAATCTTTGCAACACCTTCTCGAATGTAGTGCTCCTGTGATAGCCAAAGTTTCTTCTCTTTTCTATCACGAGTGATACTTATACCAAGAATCTTCTTAGCAGCTCCCATGTCTTTCATGGCAAATGACTTGCCCGAGTTGCTTCTTCAACTCGTCAATTTTGGAAACATCTTTTCCAACAATAAGCATGTCATCAACATATAACAACGAGGATAATGAAATCATTCTCGAAAAATTTCCTGACAAAAACACAATGGTCGAAGTAGTCTTCTTGTAGCCTTGCTCACACATAACGGACTCAAACTTCTTATACCACTCGCCTTGGAGCTTGCTTCAAACCATATAGGCTTTTTCGTAGCCTACACACATAGTCTTCCTTGCCTTCAACAAGAAAACCATCCGGTTGCTTCATGTAAATCTCTTCCTCCAAATCACCATGAAGGAAGGTCTGTCTTCACATCCATCTGCTCAACTTCCAAATCAAGAGTAGCGGCTAAACTTAACACGAGTTCGGATAGATGTCATCCTCACCACAGGTGAGAAAATCTCATTGAAGTCAACACCCTTTCTTTGTCTAAAGCCTTTCACCACTAATCCGGCTTTATATCCGGTAGATGTAGAATTGCTCTCTTGCTTCACCCCGAAGATCCACCTGTTCTCTAAGGCTCTCTTACCCTTAGGCAACTTCACCAAGTCATAAGTGTGATTATCATGCAGCGATTTCATCTCATCCTGCATTGCATCCAACCACTTTTGCTTTTCTTCACTTTCAACGGCCTCCTCATAACATTCAGGTTCTCCTTCATCGATCAACATCACATACTCATTGGTAGAGTACTTCTTAGAAGGTTGTCTTGGCCTGTCGGATCTTCTAGGTTGAGTTTCGAGTAGCTCGGGTATATCACCAAGACTCTCATCATGTGATACATCATGTTCCTCTTCATCAACATTATCAATAGGAACATCCAAGCTATCTTCAACCTGTTGATTATCGGTATCACCATGTTGTTCATCATCATGAGCATCAATATCCAAATCATTAATAGACAACCGAATTGGATCAACATCATCCACATTACCATTTCCTTTAGGTGTAGACTTCTTCTCCTTATCAATATCTTCAATGGTTTGATCTTCCATGAATTGCACATCACGACTTCTAACAACTTTCTTTTCAACGGGGTCATACAACTTGTAGCCAAATTCATCCCGACCAAAACCAATAAAGATGCATTGCCTTGTCTTCATATCCAACTTGGATCTTTCATCCTTCGAACATGAACAAATGCTTTACAACCGAAGACACGTAAATGATCATAAGTAACATTCTTGCCAAACCAAATCTTGTCCGGCACCTCGAGTTCAAAGCAACTGCAGGACTTAGATTAATAACATGCACTGCTGTAAACAATGCCTCACCCAGAAATGCTTAGGCAATTTTGCTTCAGAAAGCATACACCTAACTCTTTCAATCAATGTCCTGTTCATCCTCTCCGCTAAACCATTCAGCTGAGGAGTTTTAGGAGGAGTCTTCTCATGTGCAATACCATATTGTCTACAATAAGCATCAAATGGTCCACAATACTCACCACCATTGTCGATACGAATGCGTTTCAGCTTCTTGCTCGACTGCCTCTCAACCAAAACATGGAATTCTTTAAACTTGTCCAACACTTGGTCCTTTCTCTCGTAGTACATAAACCCAAAGCTTCCTGGAACAATCATCAATAAAGGTAACAAAGTAAAGTGCACCACTAAAAGACTTTACCTTCAATGGGCCACAAACATCGGAATGCACCAATTCAAGCAACTCGACTTCCTGGAGGGAGGATGCTTCTTGAAGGATACTCTGGTTTGTTTACCAGCCATGCAATGAGAACATTTCTCCAAATCTACATTCTTCAATCCCGAGAGAACATCCTTTTTAAATAAGCAGTTAAGCCCCTTTTCACCGATGTGCCCAAGCCTTACGTGCCACAAAGATGACTCCATATACACGGAATTCACACTATCTTTAGCAACCAAAGCTTTTGTCCAGTAAAGCTTAGAGTTTTTCTCCCCTTTAGCCACAATCAAGTTACCTTTGGTGAGCTTCCACTTTCCGAACCAAAATGGTTATAATATCCACCATCATCAAGTACCTGCACGGAGATCAAGTTAAAGCGAACATCCGGAGCATGTTTAACTCCTCTAAGCAACAATTGCATCCCCATGTTGGTTTGCAAGTGAACATCACCAACACCAACAACTTTAGACACCCCATCATTACCCATCTTCAATACTCCAAAATCACCAGGTGTATAAGATGTGAAGAACTCCTTCCTGGATGTAACATGCGGTGTAGCACCACTATCAATTATCCACATGCTCTCATCGAGATACAAGACTAATAGTGTCATAATCACGAAGACAAACAAGGTCACCACATGTAGTAGTAGTAACACGATCACCATCATCATTATCTTTTTCTCTTTGCTTACCCTTTTTGTCTTTGCTCTCTTTCTTCCACAAAAAACAGTTTTTCTTTATATGTCCTGTTTTGTGACAATAGTGACACTCCACATTCTTGTACCGAGACTTGGACTTGCTCCCGCTTTTATCTCTACCACTTGTTTTGTTCTTTCTTTTGGTTTCTCCCCCTATTCTCTCGTAATAAGCACTTCGAATGAGATGAAGTACCCTGTGTCTTCCTTCTCATCTCCTCATTAAGAGCACCACTCTTTGCCATTTGCAAAGAAATATCACCATTAGGGGTAGCACTTATCATGGAAACCCGAAATGTCTCCCACGAATCCGGTAAAGAGTTTAATAGGAATAAGCCCAATAGATCATCATCAAATTTTATACCCACTCCAGCTAATTGATCATAGCGTCCTTGAAATTCACTCAAGTGATTTGAAACATGAGTTCCTTCCTTGTACTTCAACTCCACAAAATTTTTCAGCAAGTACAATTTATTAGTCCCCGACTTAGAAGCATACAAGGACTCAAGCTTATCCCATAGGCTTCTCGCATGTGTCTCATTAGCAACAAAATTATAAACATTATCATCAACAAACCGCTCGATAAATCCACATACACGTTGATGTTCAAAATCCCATTCTTCATCCGACTTGGATTCCGGCTTATTGGAAGCAAAAACGGGAAGATGCAAATTTTTCACAAATAACAAATCCTTCATCTTGCCTTTCCATAAGTGATAATTTTCTCCATTCAACGGAATCAATTTTGTATGTGCCTCCATCATTCACGCAAATTAAACGAGTCCCTTAACCTAAGAGCTCGATACCACTCGATGGTATAAAAAAAAGGCCAAAAAACAAATATAACAACTTGACAAAGAGTAATAATGCAGCGGAAATTCAATCCCCTTCTTGCGAGAATCGGCGAGGAGCACCAAACAAATAGAATCCAAAGCACAAAGAGACACCAACAATTTTAACGTGGAAAACCCCTCAATGCAAGGGTAAAAACCACGAGTCGTCCAGACCAAAGAAAAATCCACTATGATCAATAATGGGGTACACAAGAGTCTCCAATAATAATACCAAAAGGTATTTTCAATAAGCGAGAATTAACTAAGCACAAATGCTTACAAAAGAGAAACAAAGAAGATGAAAAATCTCCAAAACAGGGCTGCTGGTGCGGGACCAATTTCTCCCAATCTAGACCTTCGATTGACGATCCGAACGGTCAGAATGAAGAACCATATGTCTGGAACCTACTATCCAAAAATCAGCTCGATCCAACGGTGAACGACTTCACAGCGACGAAAACACCAGTGCAGATTTAGGGTTATGCGGAGATGACTTTCTCTCTTTCTTTTTCTCTCACTAGACTTTTTGTCTTTTTTCAAATGACTCTCTTGTCCTCTACTAATCTGACCCATCTCATTTTACCCAAATGAGACATAATGGACCACACTATTTGGGCCTATTCTCCACATAGGAAGGGAGCCCAATAACCCAACAGTTTTGTCTAGGAAGGTGAAGAATATATGATTATATAAATTTATTTGAAAATATATGATCAAAGCGAGAGAAAAAGTTCTGTTCTCTATAAAAAAAAACTGTGGGTAAAGAAACTGCGGCAAAAGTTTACAACAAACCACGATTCCAAATTTCAGCTTCAAATATAATAATATTTGTTAGTTTGCACTGATGAGGAGCACAGTCGTTAAAAAATGAGTTATTAGAACAAAAGTAAAATATAAAAGAAGGTGATCTTTGGAAGCACCAACATTCCCACCCAAAACATGATATCAAGTGAATAATGTTGACTGAGGTTATGATTGTGATTGAGAAGTACATGCAGAACGAATCTCATGATCGAACCTACTTCTTGTAAGTTCTAACATTGACATAATGATTAGATTCCAGTACTAAGCTGGTTGTTAACTCATTTGCAGTCAATCACATTATGATGATCCATCCACTGTCTTATTACCTCCATTCTCTGCATCATTCGCCCTTCTTCTCACCACATGTATGCATTGTGCCTTTCGATGTTGATTCTCTTATCATCTTCAATAAAATACGACATTTTTTAAGTCGTATTTTTCAATCACAAATATAGTTCATTTTGTATGATAAATAGTTTAAAGTAAATAAAAATAATATATGATTATGGATGATGGACGATGGACGATGGACGATGGATGATAATTTTTCCAAGTTCACAGATTGATAATTCTACTGATATGATATATTTTTGAAGTACTGAACAGCATATGATATGATATACAAACAGAAAGAGTGGTAGTACGGAAGTGTGATTATGTGCTGTATTTAAGATAAATTACATTGACGTTCCTAAGTTTTTGAGCCCTCACATGTGATGTGATGAGACCCTTTTCGTTTTCTGTGTACGGCACACTGTTTTCTACATATTCAACATTGAATTGAAGTTGATTAGAGTAGAGTAAGTTAACGGAGTTCTGTTCTGCCATGTGAGGGTTCTGTGGAATTTCATGAAGTGGGTCCTTTCTTTCGTGGCACCATACCCCAACTAGCACTTGGAGTCATCTATTTTATGATCATCCTTTCTGGAAATGTATGGCTTCCCACTCTGCAACTGACACTTTGCAAGATCACTATAAATACAGCAACTCCAAGGTCCTTCCCAAAGTCAATCATTGCATTGCATGATCTTCCACTGCATGCTCCAACAATAATCACTTCAACACTTACACTCTCCATTAGACACTACCTATAATTGAATTGAGATACTACAACTCCTTCTTGTGTTCACTTGCACTTTCACTCTATCTCTAGCTTGAGTTGAAACCCCATCAGATCACATATCATGGGTATTCGTCTGCCAATATTTATGGCTCTTCATGCCAACAAGATATTCAAGTGGCAGCAGCATCTCCACAGTAGAAACCACTCGAATGTTCCAAAGGGTCACATAGCAGTGTATGTTGGAGAGGCTCAAAAGAAGAGGTTTGTGGTTCCAATATCTTACTTGAACCATCCTTCGTTTCTTGACTTACTAAACCGAGCTGAGGAAGAGTTTGGCTACAATCATCCAATGGGAGGTCTCACAATCCCTTGCAAAGAAGAGGCATTCATCAATCTCACCTCTCAATTAGGTTCCTCCAGAAAAATATATATATAGATATATCAATACCCTTTTCCTCTATCTACATATGTGTCTCCATTTTTTCTGCTTCTACTCACCATTTGAGAGCTGTTTCTACTAACTCCACTCTTTTGACAAATATATAGATCATTCTATGTATTTCATTGTATACATTTTAATTATATATATTGATTGTTTGTGAGAAACAAAATAGCTAGCCACTACCAAATTCATTTCCTGTCATTTTAAAGCTTGCAAATTAAAGCTATGCTGCAAGGTCAATGTTGCAGCTTTCCTTTTTCTAGTTACGCTGCTGGTTCATATTGTAGATGATGGTTTGTAAAATCTTATCTCACATTTCAAATTTTTTTTTTTTTTATTGTTTTAGTTTCCAAAACGTTATTTACTATCCTTTTATATTTTCTTCCCCTATTATTAATCATGTCTAATCTTTTCCACTCTCATTTATTCTTTTCCACTTCTCCATGATTCAAAACATGTTTAATGAAATATAATACTTAGACTTTCAATATTGGAAATGAATTAAATATTAGAACTTTTAACCCGATTTTTACATATAGTGAAACTCAATCTTGTTGCACTTTAAAATTCGTGTACAAATTAAATTGGAACATTTTTATGCTGGTATTATCATGTTCCAATTTAGACTTAACCCACAGAAGATTTATTCACTTCCATTAGGTTTGGACCTTTTTTTAAAACCCCAGACTAGACTAAATTAAATTAAAGACATGTTAGAAAATAAAATTGAAGTTAGATTTTGTTGGAGTAACTTGCTATATATCTAACTATGAACTACATTAAATTCTAGCAAACAAACTGGCATTGAGCACATATTATTTTATTATCGCACAACTTGGGCCTAACTCGCAAAAATCTCGTACGACTCGAACCTTTATCGATTTTAGGCTTCCATTTAAGGGAAAAGCATCAATTCTAAACGAACGAAAATTATCCATTTAGACAATTTTTTCAAAAATTATTAAATGAATAAGTTGTATTTAATAGGAGGACTACATGAAAAAAAAGTTCTACTATCGATTACGATTTTATTTTTTTAATAGTTTTAATCGTTTTTTATTTGTTTTAGTAAAGTTGTGCTACACTTTATATATATATATATATATATATATAATTATTAAAGTTAAATTTATTATAAATAATTAATAATAAAATATTAATAAATAAATATTTATTATTTATTGTAAATATAATTATTATAATGATAATAATATTAATAAATAATAATAATAATAGATATTAATTATTTTCTTTATAATATTTTTATCTTTAATATTATTTTTATTTTTAATAATATCATTATCAATTTTATGTTTTATTATTAAAATTATCATAATTATTTCTTGATAATAATAAATTGTATTATAATAATTACATTAAAAATTTAAAAAATTCATTAAATTATTTTTATTATCAACTAAAAAAGTAACATTAAAAAAATAAAAGAAATTATTAATTAAAAATTTTCATTAATACTTATTAATTAATGATAATAATTATAATATTTATAATAAATAACAAATAACAATTATTTTATTTATTTATAATAAATTTAATATTAATAATATTAGATAAATATAAATAATTATATATATATATATATATATATATATATATATATATACACGATTTCACTAAAAAATAATTAGAAAAAAACAAACTAAAATTGTGATAGGTAGATTTCTTCTTCATTGTAGGGCTGATCCATTTCTGTAACTTTTTTAAAAATTACTAAAATCGATAATTTTATTTTAAAATTGCATAATTTTAATACTTTTATAAGAAAGTATATATGGCCACTAGTAAAATCTTATTATATAATCTTATTATAATAATGAATTTAACTAGTAAATGAAATTAATATTTTCTTAAAACTAATTTAGAGTTGGCTATTTGTCTAAGATAACATATATATATATATATATATATATATATGTGAAATTGACATAAATTATTCATTAAATTTTAATTATTAATGATGTATTTAAAATAAAATAATCTAATCTAATACAATAATAATGAAATAAATAATAAGCACACATGTGACACAAATGGAACATACTTATGAGCTTAAATTAGGATGCATTACATCCTTAAACAAGTGTATCCTTTGATCTGACTGTTTTGTGATACGCATCATTCACAAAAACACAGCCTAATCCACCAAATACTGGGACCGTACAATACAGCATTAACCATACATAATACATAATTTGTTCACTATACTGCTTCTTCAAGAGATGCTCGAATGGTTTCAGGGCTCAACATTTTGTTTATGCTGCCAAAAACACATGCCATAAAGTCAACAATGGAAAAGGCAAGGCACATGGTAAAAATAATAAATTTAAAATAAAAGACTCGCTTAAACCAAAGGAACTTACAATAATAGCAAATCCCCACTAGAGACCTGCTTCTCCGAAATCCATTCGGGTGCTAGTTCTTGTAACAAATTTAGCTGCTCTTCAACTTCGCCTACAAATTCGAACCAGGAAAATTTAGTAAAAAGAAAAACTAAAAAGTAGTAAATCATTTCAACATAAAACAGTGCCTTACTTCTGTCAACAATATCGCTGTGACTTGAGATTATCCTGCTTACGAGCTCCGCTTTAGTGATACAATTCCGCTGTCGAAGCAATTGACGAATCATGTCAAAGAGCTTGGGGAGGTTGGCTATAATTTGTTTCCGTTTCTTTGCTTGAGTGATAGCTGGGTCTCTTTCCTCCATTGCCATTCTTTCCTTTTCTCTAATCTGCAAGAGGCACAGTAAATGTTGATCCTACTCGTGCAATGGGTTTAAGTAAACCTAAAAAGATGTTAGACCTAATATTAATGAAATAAAAAGATACAGTATTTTAATTTTACTTCATGGGACAATAAGAAATGATGGAGAAGCAAAGGCTCAACACAAAGTCCAGTCATGTTTAGTCCACTTTCAAAAGGACTGGATATTTAAACCATTAATATGTATTCATGTTTAGCACATTGTTAGTGAAAGGGCATACCGATTGGATAAGTTTTCCAGGGAGGATGTCAAAAACATCATCATCTATTGCTAAGCCACCGGTATTATCTTCATTCACAACCTCCTTATTCTTTACCGGAGTGTCAAATATCAATGACCTTGAGCGAGGTGGACGCCTAGCTAACTTGTTCAAAGAACTGATAGGGAGGTCGTCTGGGGTCATCACAAGGGGTCTTTTGGGTGAACGCAATGCAGGTGTGGCACTCATCAACCTAATTGGAGTAGAAACAAGTTTTGCCGGAGTTGACAGGGCATCAATGCTCTTCAGAGAACCATCGTTGTTTTCTGTGCACTCGTCGATTTTCTTTGCTTGAGTTGCCATGGCTTCGAGAGATCCATCTTCGTTATCTATGTACTCGATGGTTTTGCTAGGAGTAGAAGCGGGAGCACTGGATGATTCCAGAGAAGCAAAAATTGTTGGAGAACTGCTAGCTGCTTCTGAAGCCAACTTGGAAGGGGAAGGTTGTAATGAATCTATTTGAGTATTTTGCTGCACATTAACTGCAACATTTTGATTAAATTTCAAAGAAAATCGGGCTCTAAAGGATGGAGCAATGTGAGAAGGTGCTGCCAGATGTTCATTTGGCAATTCAACTGATATCTTGACAGGTACAGACATTTTTTCATCCACGTGAACAGACTCTACATTATTAACAATGTCATTATAGCGCACGCAGGGTGACAATTTTGTTGGGAGACGTGTTTCCAAATTGTTCACTTTCTTTGGGCAATTAAATGGCTCAGGCAATGTTCCTTCTGGAACTTCATCAACCTACACATAGAAGCATCCTTCAGACCAAGTAATATGCGTGATTAAAAAGTAATTATTCTGATTGAGATAGCAATTGCTCATCATAAAAAATAAACTGGATGCATGAAAAATTTAACATCATAGCAAAAGACTACCATTCGCATGTCATAGTATAGTATTGCACACATATAGTAATTTTGCATAATAACAACCACAATCATGAACAAAACTAGACAGGTACAAGTAATGGTCAGCAGGAATAAAACTCAAGGCAAATTGAATCATCAATAATAAAAAACGCTTCAGAATAGATTTCCCTAAGCAGTTTTTCTAGACGGAATTGATGAGACCCACCTCAGGATGAGATTCCCAAAAATCTCTTAGCCGTGCGTGAAACAACTTCTTTAATGACACTCTCCCACGTTGAGGGGGCACCTTCGCATCAGACTCTACCGCCTCAGGGTTTAAAGAGATGTGAATATCCGGCTTCATACAACTGGTCCGTTCATCACGCACTAGAAACTTCTTCAGAACAATAGCCTCAGGCAAGATAAATTTCAACTGCGCTAGATGTGCGTGAGTAAACCTCCTAAACAATAATCAAAACACACAATTCCGTCATGAAACAACTTAGACAATAGCATTCAAGTATGACCATCTTGCTGATGATGGTGAGATATGTGTAGCTGGCTTATTACTCTCGTTATTCAGATATTTATTCACTTCTGTCTAGGGTTTGTCACAGATTTTGGAATTCTCAGATAAAGTGGGTAAATTCAAGTAGTGAATCCCAAATGATAGTATAACAACTCATGGACATCTTAATAATTCATATCGGTTCAAATTCTTCTTTAATTAGTTAATAGCATACACTCGGATTACGATCGACCCCCACAGAGTCTCGAAGGCGTGGCCTCAAGAGACTGAGTATATCGGTTGGATTGAGATCAGACCCGGAAAAAAATTAAATTAAAAAACATGTATATTGAAAAAAATAAAATACCCTAATCGATTGGTACCTGTCTGTTAAAGATTCGATTCTAGAACTAATCTCTGTAAAGGATTGAGTCTTCCCTTTCCGACGGAACATTAAAATTAAAGTATCCAACCGGTCGAAGAACTGATCCAAAATTTCATATCTGCAAACAAATCATAGATCAGACAACTATATGGATATTATTTTAGATTATCCAAAATTTAAAAAAAAATCAAGATGTAAATTACTTTTCGGGAAGCTTGGAGGGTTCATCGCCAGTAATATTGGATTTACTGGGAGAAGAAGGCCACAGTGAGATCTGCCTCCTCACATTCTTGCTCTGCGGCAACGATGTCGTTTCACTGTGTCGCTTCCGATCCAGCAAACCCTTGCCAACTTTTTTTATGTCTGCGACGGAGAGCGCGACGCCACGGTTGCGGATCCGCTGCGTCTGTTTGTCCGGCGTCTTGGAACTAAACTGAACTGGGCTTGGTGTCTGGACCTTGGAGCTTCGGAGATTAGGTTTCTTGGATATACCTCTGCAAGAAGGAGACGCTGCATCCGAGGATTCCTTCATGGTGCTTGAGGATCAGTGTAATGAGGGACAAAGTGAAATGAAAAAATTACTATGATTTTTTTTTATACAGGGCTTTCTTTTCGCGGGAAAACTGTCTCTGATCGCGTGCGAGACGTTACTTCCCGCCAAAATGAGACGTTTCTTCCCGCCAAAATGAGACGTTGCTTCCCGCTACTACGTGGGCTTGTTATCAGCAAGATACGAACCATTCCAATTAAAGAGGGATTCGACCTAATCGGACCAATCTCTGGCTTTTGTCTCTCATTTTGATCCAATCACCTACGGTTAAATAATTCCAATCCAATCTTTTAAATAAAAATATATTAATAATATTATTATTTAGTTTATTAAATTATTATATCAATTAAATATATTTTTTAAAATATTAAATTATTCAGATAATAAATAATTTAGTTTGTTTAAAAAACCATTTTAAAAAATCTAAAAAATATATATTTTAAGATTAAAAAAAAATGTTAACTTTAAATTTTAAGTTAGAATTGAATCTAAATATTTTTTTATAGTTTTTTAAAGATACATATTTATTTTGACCTTGATCTGTATAAATTCTTTATTTTTTTTTTACTTTTATACCCTTACACTACATTCTTGCATCATAATATCTTTATAGATCTCACATTTTTTGCAACCTTTGAGTACTAGACAAAAATTTTAAAACTAACTTGAAAAAAAAAAAAAACACTGAAACAAGAAACTGAAAATCAATTTCGATTTTTAAAAGCTTAAAAATAAAAATCACTGAGAGATAAAAAAATGACTTATTCTTTTAGTACAGCGTTACAATAATATTAACATTAAATATTGACATGTGTTTATAATTTGATATTACATATAGAGTTTTTTTATGACTAAATTATGGAGATTATAGTTATACATATAGTTTGGGCTATCAAGTTCAACTCTAATTCTATACGTGGGTTCAAATTTGTTTGATTGGGTTAGGCCTAAACGGACTTCATGCATTTTAATGTCAACTTCTAAAACGAGTTTTTGTAATTATTGACAATAATTTAAAGAAATTATCTATTGATTTTGTTTAAAATAAAATAAAAAATGTGTTTTTTTTCATATATTAAAAGAAATTAAGAATATTCTAAAAACAATAAATTAATCCATATCTGAAATGTTATTAAATTTTGATCAAATAGACAGTTATGAGAAAATCAATGCTTTTAAAACTATAATTCGTTTTTTAAATTGGTGAAGGCAGAAGTTTAGATTTTAAAAGTTTAATCGTATTTAATCTGAATTGAATCAAATTTAATAAAATAATAATTTTTATTATATAATAATAAATTAAAATAATAATAATAATAATAATATCACACTATAAATAATAACTAAAGTTATAAAAATATAAATACATTAGATAATGAAAAATTAATCATCATTAAAATAAGAAAAAAAATATAATAAAATATATTATTTAAAGTGAATATAAATTATATAAGATAAAAAATCATATTATATTCTATATAAAAAAATTATGTTTTAAAAAAATTATAAAATTTTGATCTCAACTTTAATTATCACTAAATTTAAGAAATATTCGTGCTGGATTTAATATTTTAACGTTGTAAGAATAAGAATCTTGTCGGAATCTAATGGAGACAAATGTAGTTCCAGGCTACAATTACAATGTAGTATCCAAGTAAATAATCAAGTATTTTCTCTTTCACTTTGTTTTAGAGGTCTTGTGTCCGTTTGGTTTGTCGTTTACAAGGCACCAAACGTTGGTTCCCGCTTTCCCAAGCCAAAAACAGTGAAGCAGCTATGTTGGTGAATTGGGAAAAACGTGGGTTACGTTTAAAAGCTTTCCCAAACACACCCCTAATAGGTCCCAAAGACCATATAAATATCATCCATAACTCCTCTGTTGTACCTTCTCTAAATGATTCTGGTACAATTTATTGTATGTTGTTGACCAATAAGCATGATGGGGTGATCATCTTACATGTTTTAGGCATGTCTTGAGGAAAATAAGTCAGATTTTAAATTATTTAGACAGGCATTGGTTTTCAAATGGAAATTATGTTGGCTGTTTCTTGATCTTTGATAAAGACGGTTAAGAAAGCATCATGTGATTCTTCACGTCAATGTCTCTCACAAGACCCCATTTGGACCTCGCCCCCTTCATGAATTCATGAAGCTATCATTCTGAGGTGTTTATTGATATTTGATAAAGGTGTGAAGACAGCATCATGTGATTCTTTATACCAATGTCTCCAATTAGACCCCATTTTGACAGCTCTTCATGAATCATTTCAGTACCAAATGGCATGCCAAAGTCCTCTCTTATATAGAGTAATGGTTGCAGTCAAGTTCAAGCACTCTATAAGCATCATATACTTCCTATTCACGTCTTTTGAAATCATTCACTTGCTTTGCACACCAAATAAGAATCGGGCATAATGGGTTTCAGTTTGCGTGGTCTTCAAAGGCGTGTGGATGTCCCAAAGGGCTGTGTAGCAGTGTATGTGGGAGAAAACCAGAAGAAGCGGTTTGTGATTCCCATATCATACTTGAACCAACCTTCATTTCTTGATTTGCTGAATCAATCTGAACAAGAATTTGGATTTGATCATCCAATGGGTTGCCTCACAATTCCTTGCACAGAAGATGTCTTCCTAGATGTCACTTCTCGCTTACACAGGCGATAAAGAGCTCAAGACAAATATCGTTCATATACAAGTGTCAATATTGATCAACTAATTTGTTCTGTAGAAATGATAAATTCTAACCATCTATACTTTTCTTCTTTCCATTTTGTCGTTCCCAGGAAGAGAAAAGATGTACTTTGACACAGAATTATTTGAATACGAAGTGAAGATTTATTAAAAAATTTCTTCAATTATGAGTTTATTCATCTTTGTTGGCGAAAAAGAAAGATTTGGTAACTCATGAATAAGTATATATTTGATGGAAGAACTATAGCCATTTTCTGTTCTTTGAGAATGTCTAATTTATGAGGTGCATGGTTTTTTGGATAAAGGAAACAAAAGACATCCTTATCCACTGCATAGTAACATATCAAATAAGAATTCATTTCACTGTAACTAACGATAACAGTAAATGTAGATTATTAGATTTTATTTTAAAATAATTAAAATTAAAATGCAGAGAGGATGTCTTCCTTGATATCACTTTGCTTGCATAGACCATAGAAGACAAGATTGAAATGTAGACAGTCACTGACCGATTTATTTTTGTAAATGACAGATAGATTATTATCCTTGTGAACTTATTTTTTAATACTTTTTTTTTATGTTCTCTTTCCAGAGAAGTGGGAGGATGCTCTCTGACTAATTTACAAGCAAGGATTAGAGCAAATTTCTTTCAATAATATTAGTTGGTTTCTTTCTAAACTTTCTCTGCCAATTATTCCATGTCGTTAGGTGGATAAGCTATCTATTTATTTTCTAAACTACAACTTCGTTTACAGTTATATTCTAGCAAATGCACGAAACTGTTAATGGCCACATCCAGAGCTCTTCCTGGGGTATCACTATCTTCATATTCCTTTTGTAGAAAGCTGAAACACATTTTTATTTAAATTTTAATATTAAACAAAATCCTAGTCCGTTAATCGGATAAGTTATGTTTGCAACACATGATGAAATCACACAGAAACAAAACACTTCCACTATCATGGCGGATAGATTATGATAATTGTCAGAGAAAGATTTGTCATTTTTTAAAAAGCCTTATCTATTTTTCATCAACTTCCATGATGATTACATTTCAATTTTTAATAAAAAGGACATTAGGATTTAACAACGTAAAAATTAAGAGTTTCTAGTTGAAATCAAGGAGCTCAATAAGTTCCATGCCACCATAAGGTAGAATTCAGGTACAGCTTAGGTATTTTTCTGTTTCACTTTGTTCCGGAGGTCTTGGGAGGATTTATTACGTAGTTTAGGATTATATAAATAGCATCCATAACTCCATGTCCGATGAACCTTCCAAGAAATAACTGCAGCGAACAAATTAATCAGAGCTTAAGAAGCGTATATCTTCCAATCCAAGCAGATTTCTGTACAATATTTATTTATATAAGAGTCTCTAGTTCAAAATTAATGGAGCCCACTAGTTCCTTGCCACAATTTCTAACCCTTATGTGAATGATTCTGGTACATGTTATCAAATGGTTCCAAATCAACATATTGAATATTTAATATGTCCGAGAGATGTCTAGAAAAGAAGTCAGATATTAAAATTTTCAGGCTGACATTAGGTTTCAAATGGAAATGGTGTTGGCTGTCTGTTGATCTGATAAAGACGTTTAAGAAAGCATAATGTGATTTTCCATGCTGATGTCTCTCACTAGACCCCATTTGGTCATTGCCCCTTCATGAATATCTTGAGGCTATTAATCTGAGATGTTTACTGATATTTCATTAAGATGTTCAAGACAGAATCATGTGACCCTTTTTTACTAATGTCTCCAAGTAGACCCCATTCATGAATAATTTCTGTGCCAAATCATATGCCAAAGTCTTCTCCTCAGCTATATATATGTATAGACTCATGGTTGCAGTTACAAGCAATTCAAATCCAAGCGTTCTCTAATCATCAAATACTTTCTATTCAGTTCCTTCGAAATCATTGTTTTCACACCAAATAAGGATCAAGCATAATGGCTTTCGGTTTCCGTGGCGTTCAAAGGCGTGTGGATATCCCAAAGGGCAGTGTAGCAGTGTATGTAGGAGAAAACCAAAAGAAGCGTTTTGTGATTCCCATATCATACTTGAACCAGCCTTCTTTTCAACAGTTTCTGAGTCAAGCTGAACAAGAATTTGGATTTGATCATCCAATGGGTGGCCTCACACTTCCTTGCAGAGAAGATGTATTTCAAGAAGTCACTTCTCGCTTGCACAGGCGATAGACAGATATCATATGCAAGTGTCAATATTAATCAACTAAATTGTTTGTGTAGAAATGACAGAATCTAACCATATACATACTTTTTCATCTTTCCATTTTGTTCATCCGGAAAGATATAATCTACAGCATTCTATGAATATAAGATTATCAGAGGCTTTTTCTATACATATATTATGAGTTTGTTTTCTTTCTGTTTAACTTCTTTTCCATATCTTATTCTCTGTGTCTAGTCAGAAAGTAGTCAACAAATGGAATGTCATTAAAAAATGAATACAAAACTTCACTAACATCATAAATTATTGAAGTTATTAATCGATGAGCAACATCAGTGAACAAAAATAGAATTCATTGGTTGTGTACTCTCTCATGTTGCCTCATTATTTTCTTCTGTATCTCTTTGAAAAGAAAAGTAGAAGAATATGAAGCCAATAATTTTCTTTTGTAAATAGATTATTAACGATGAATCTGAAGTAAAATATTGTTAGGTAAACATTAAATGCATGTAGTTGAGAGGTAGTGGTTATAGAGGTAGTAGTTGAGAGGTAGTTGTATTGAATGTATGTAGTTGAAAGGTAGTAGTTGTATTAAATGCATGTAGTTGAGAGGCCATATCCAAAGGCCTATAAATTGATCATGCATCACTCATTGCAAACACATTAAGTGATAATATACAGAGTGTTTTATTTAGATACTTGTTTGTCAACAAATTGGCATCAAAGCTTGAGAGTCTGAGTGTCTGAGTGCGTTAGAGAGAGTGTTTGAGAGTTAGAGAGTTTGTTTGAGATGGCCAACTTAGCTAACAGCATGCCCCTACCAAAGTTATCAAAAGGCGTAAGCTATGATAACTGGAGCCTGCAAATGAAGGCTCTCCTTGGTTCCCAAGAAGTATGGGATGTGGTCGAAAATGGGCACCAAGAACCAGAGAATATTGAAGAGCAGACTATTGCTCAGCTTGCTGCATTGAGAGCAACACGAGTAAAAGACAAAACGGCTTTGTACGTACTGTACCGAGCTGTTGATGAGTCCGGCTTTGAGAAGATAGCAAATGCTAAATCTTCAAAAGAAGTGTGGGATATTCTGGAGAAGGCATATAAAGGGGATAATCGCGTGAAGCAAGTCAGGCTTCAAACTCTTAGAGGCGAGCTTGAAAGCATGAGGATGAAAGATGTCGAAGGGGTTGTCGAGTACATCTCCCGTGTTGAGACCGTGGTGAATCAACTCGGAAGAAATGGAGAGACGCTGCCCACTTGCCGAGTGGTGGAGAAAATCTTAAGATCGTTAACTGACGACTTTGAGAATATCGTTTGTGCAATAGAAGAGTCCAAGGACTTGTCGGTGCTCTCGGTGGAAGAGCTTGCCGGGTCGCTTGAAGCGCATGAGCAGTGGAGAAGGAAGAAGAAAGAGGAGTCCCTTGATCAAACACTCCAAGCAAAGACAACCTTAAAGGAGAAGAATGTTTCTTATGCTCAGAACACTCAAGGCCGAGGTGGTAGAGGCAGAGGAGAATATGAAAGAGGCAAGGAGCAAGTCAGTCAACAAAACTGGCGTGGCCAAAGACAAGGTAGAGGTCGTGACGGTAGAGGTCGAGGTGGTCAATCAAGCAATTCCGGAGTTGAGTGCTTCAAATGTGGGAAGTACGGTCATTTTGCTAAGGACTGCTATTCAAGTATCAAATGTTATAATTGTGGGAAGGTTGGGCATTTCGCGAAGGACTGCCGATCTAAGAGGAAGAAGGAGACAAACCTCCTCTCTGAGGACACTGAGGAAGAAGGAGTATTGATGATGTCGAGAAGTTTGGATGTCGAGCTAAGTTCGAGTTGTTCTGACAACTCAGTTTGGTATCTTGATACAGGAGCAAGTAACCACATGTGCGGGGACAAGAACCTTTTTAAGGAGCTCACTAAAGTTGAGGCCGAACACGTATCATTTGGAGATGCATCAAAGGTGGCAGTAAAAGACAGAGGTACAATCTGGTACCTACAGAAGAATAGCCGAGTTGGAGAAATCAGAGACGTGTACTATGTACCCGATCTCAAAAGCAACATATTGAGCATGTGCTAGCTGATGGAGAAAGGCTACTCGGTTCTGATGAAAGATCAAGTACTATACCTGAAGGACAAGTCGGAGCGTTTGATTGCCCGAGTAGAAATGAAGAAGAATAGAATGTACAAGTTGGACTTGAAGATAGTCCAAGAGAGGTGCTTGAAACTTGACATGAAGGATGAAGCAATGATGTGGCACTTTCGTTTTGGCCACTTGCATTTTGGCAGGCTGACCAAGTTGGTAAAGAAAGAGATGATGCGAGGACCCTCGTCTATGAAATTTGAAAAGAAATTCTGTGAAGAGTGTGTGCTCGGGAAGCATCCGAGGACCTCATTTCCGAGGCGATCGAGTACCGTGCAAAGGAACAACTCGGATTGATTCACACAGATATTTGTGGACCGATTACCCCTAAGTCCTTCAGTGGGAAAAGGTATTTCATTTCTTTTATAGATGATTTTTCAAGAAAAACCTGGGTATATTTTTTGAAGGAGAAATCTGAGGTGTTTGAGGTGTTCAAGAGATTTAAAGCAATGGTTGAGAAAGAGATTGACATGCCTATCAAATCTGTTAGGTCTGATCGAGGAGGCGAGTTCATTTCATCCGAACTCATGAAGTATTGCGAGGAGCAAGGGATAAGGAGATTTCTGACAGCACCATACTCACCCCAACAAAACGGAGTTGCCGAGAGGAAGAATCGAACCATTCTTAACATGGTTCGAACAATGTTGAGAAGCAAAAACGTGTCAAAGGAGTTCTGGGCAGAAGCAGTGCAATGTTCCATCTATGTGCAAAATAGATGTCCACATGCTAAGCTGAACGAGAAGACACCGCAAGAAGTTTGGAGTGGAAGAAAACCGAGTGTGTCTCACCTTAAAGTGTTCAGTAGCATAGTTTATGATCATGTTCCAGCTCAATAGAGGACCAAGCTCGAACACTACTAGAAAAATGTCAAATAGTAACCGAAATCAGTGACCGAAAAATTTAGTTACTATCGATGACCGAATCGAGTAACCAAATTATTATTTTTTAGTCTAAGTAAGCAAATAGTAACCGAATTTTCGGTCACATAAAATCGGTTACTATTTCAGTCACTTTATTATTTAATTTATTTTTTTAATTAATCTATATTTAATTTATGTAATTATTTTTACAAAAATGGTTAATAGTGATCGAAATTAGTGACTGATTTTTTTATATTTAGTAACTCGATTTAGTGACTAAAATTTCGAGTCACTAAAAAAATAATTTTTAAACTGATAACTATTTTTCATTTTATATAAATATTTTATTTAAAATATTTTAAATATAAATTTACTTAATAATTTAAAATAATTGATAACATTTTTAATAACATTATAAATATTTAAAAAAAATTGTTTACTAACTTATTAAATAATTTAGTAATATAATTATTTGATTTTATTTTTTAATTTAGCATGTGAATAAAAAAATTAAAATTGATTATTAAATTAGTCACCGAATCGGTCATCTGATTCTAGTCACCGAATCGGTCACTAATTCGGTCATATATATATTACTTGTATGTTAATAAAACTGTATTTCAATGTATTTATAAAAAATTAAAATTATTTTAATTACTTGAATTGATATTTTAAATTTATATTAATATCTTGAATAATTTAATAGTTGGATATATATATATATATATATATATATATATATATATATATATGTATCACTTTAATTTTTTTAATTAATATTTGAAAATTAAAATGCAAAAAAAAATATATATATATATATATATATATATAAATTTATTTATTTTTTAAAGATGATATATTCAATGTATGTTAAAAAAGTTCAAGCCAAACTTGTTTTTATAGAAGATTTTCAAAACTCATTGGTTTAATTAATCTGTTAAAAGATTCTTTTAATATGTTAAAAGTGCAGTTTTAATCTGTTAAAACTTCTTTTAATCCATTAATACGTTCTTGATTCTTTAACAGATTTGTTTTAAGCTGATACTGACAACGTTTATATCATTTAAAACACTTTACAAAAAATCTTCTAAGTTGATTTAATCGATTGTTTCAGCGATTCAATCGATTGAAATACTTGCAAAACTTTCTCCTAAAACTTTTCAAGTTATTTTAACTGATAAAAATAAGTTTTAATCGATTAAAACGCATGTGCAGAAATTGTTTTAATCGATTGAAACGAGATTTAATCGATTAAAAGTGTTATGATCGGTCATAATTGCATTCGACCGATCATAATTGAAACCATATAATAGCGGTTCAAGGGTTAACCGTTATCTAAGTGAGCTTTTAAGAGCGGTTCTCGTGTAACCGCTTATCTAAACTGTATCTCGCTTGAGCGACAACGTTCTCGCTCGAGCGAAACGCCCTGCACAAAATTAGTACTCTCGGGTTGTATTTCAGCTTGAGCGAGTCTAGTCTCGCTCGAGCGATATTTGATTCTGATTGATTATATTTTCGAAATGATCGATCATATTTGATAATTTTTTCAAATAATTAATTATAATCGATTAGTTTTCTAAATTATTGATTAGAATTGATTAGTTTTTCAAATAATAGATTAGAATTGATTAATTTCAAAATATATACTAAAAAATTATAATTAAAACTATAAATTAGTTAAGAATATTGACTATTGTAAAGATAAAGTAGAACATGGGAGGAGATGAAGATGATAATATAATCATAGAACTTACAAAAATGTAGAATTGAGAAGTTTGAATTACACTTTTAATAAATTTAAGATAATACTAGTTTTGATTTTTATTTTTAAATATTTATTTTAATTATTTAAAACATAAACTATAATTTTACTTTCTAGCTACTTGAATTTAAAGAATTAAATTTATTATTATTTAATCTTTTAATTTTAGTATTAAAATTTTAAATTATATTTTTCTACTTTGAGAATGAACAATATAATTAAACTCAAAATTGACAATATTATAATACATTTTTG